TTGTCAGTTCTCAGCTGACCCTATTCCTGGTTGAGATTTCAGATCTTGCCTATCTGTTTTCCAGCAAGCAAGAGTTTAGGGGTTGGGTTCTGTCTTCGCTGTCACCTTTCCTGTGGATTTGTTTGTCTAGAAAAGAATCCTTTCCCATGGTTCGGTAAGGACTTTAGGGGGTAGCAAAACTGGCTGTGTACGCACTCTCCTCTCTCCTTCTCTGTAGTGTAGACCCAGGCTGTGTCTCTAATCACACCCGACATTGATTCCCCACCACTTTGCTGGAGACCTGTCAGTCTTACCACTGATCCCGACAGCCAGCTTTCCAAACCACAGGGTCTTCTGCAGGGTTCACACGGCCCACTTCACCAGCTGCCGTGTTCCTGAGGTTTAGCCGGTCCACGTCCCTGTCAAATGTCTGTGTGCTGCATCCCACAATTCCTGCAAGACAAACGAACATCTCCTGTCACCTCCCACAGAGACCCTTCCACACGAGCCTTTCACCTAGGCAATCCGGGGTTGGACCCCTGGTGTCTTCCTGAGGAATTCGACCTTTCACGAGTTTCAGTTCTGGTAGTGCTTACTTGCTTAACACCCATTTTGATTCACGTTAATAAAGCTGTGCCTTTTTCTCTTTGGTTTTTGCTTGCTGCTTGTCTGTTCGTGCAGCTACGTTGGGTGATCATGGATGATAAACACGTGTTGCCCAGATCTGGGGAAGGCCAAGATCAGGCAGATCTGGGGTCTCCCTGGGGCCCCTTCTCTGCTACCGAGATGGCGGCTCTGGCTGGTCCTTGCCCAGTGAAGAGCAGAACCAGGCTGCTCTCTGAAGCCGTCCTGTAAGGGCATCGATCAGGACCTAATCACCTCCTGAAAGGTCGCACCTCTTAATACCATCAAACCCCAGCGTAGGAGTTTTGGAGACTTACACATGTAGATAGTTTAACTATATTATGTCGTTCACACGTGTGTATGATTTACATACACATGAACATGTATGTCTACATATGTGTACACACACACGCACACAAACACACACACTGATCATCTAGATCTACCCTGAGGTGTCACATGGCTTGCAGGAGATGCTGTGTGACGCCGTAGCACTGTCTCTCCTGGTCAGCCTATTAAAGTCATATAAGGGGGAAAAATAACACTGGAAATTAAGGGAATGGAAACATTGAAATAAGATAGGCTACTGGAACAGCTCCACAGACACGCCAATGCATGTTACTTGGCTAAATCTACCCGTCGGTAACAGAGACTCAGGTGAAGCTAAGAAAACAAAACCCAATGTTGAAGGAAGGTCGAAAAATGGAGGAGTGGGAAAAAGTCAGCTTGGAAAACGCAAACCACAAAAGAGGACTCGGAGCAATGTCCATACCCGACAAGATGTAACTCAGGACAAGGAGTGGTGAAGGAGGAAAATCACATTGATAACACTCAGGTCACTGGTCTCGAACTTATTCTATTCCTGCCAATATTATGTCGAAATATAAATATGATATAAATATAAACAGAATCTAAACAAAATAGAAATGATTGAAAAATCCACCACACGGTGGGGGATCATCATGTCTTTTTCAGAAATGGAAATAGGAAGAAATCTGAAGTACAACCAGGGTTGTAAGGTAGCAGGACTCTCGGGACCAGGAGGCCTGTCCCCATTCAGGTCCGTCACTAACCTGCTGCTCACTGCGGTTCCTCTCGGCCTCGGGCCTGTGGCCTCTGACCCCTCTTAGGTGAAGAAGGTGCTGTGCTTTGCTTCCAGATACAAATGTGGTTCCAATTCCATGGGGACCAGTATCCAGGTTCTTTCAGTCCCCGGCATGTTGGACACCTGAGCCACGTCATGCCTACTCCTTTCCCCTGCCCCAGAGGCCACCAAAACAAACAAACAAACAAACAAACAAATAAATAAAATAACACAGGATAAAAATGGTATGCTGGTAATTCACACATGCTCAGCCACACTGATAATTGAAAAAAACAGAAATTAAAACAATGAAGGGCTACATCAGGTTGAAAAAGGTGTGAACATCAAACAGATCTTAATGAGACCGTGGAGGGACGGCGATGATCATGCTGTTGATGACACAATATGAAGGGAGGGTGGTTTGACAATAGTATTCAAATTTGACAAGCATGTAGCCCGTGACGTGGCGATTCCACCCGTCCACTCCAGGAATCAATGTCTACAGACACGCCAAGAAGGGCTTCTTCTGTAGTGACACTGGCAGTAGGAAAATTTGAAAATAACCTAGGTGCTCAGCGAAAGGGGAACTACAGAACACTAGGAAGCAATGAGGAAAGAGTCACGTGGTCCTTCAGGGCCCAGGGTGGAGGTGGATACAGCCCCAGAGACAAGACCCATCATTAAGGGAACGTTGCAAGACCATAGTTAAGATGTCAGTTATGGAGGATTTGGAGACATTGATCCCCCAAAGCCAACTTTCACTCCTATCTGTACCTATACATGCCACAGGTGCAGGGAAGTCGGAGCAGGATCCATGCCGCACCGGAGGCAGAGGAGCCATGTGGGGAGATGGGACTAGGGGACATTGGGACTCTTTTTGCCTTGGTGTTGTTTGAATCTTCTACAACGAGAATGTAGCTCTGGGGTTAACAATGCAGTTTGCTAATTAAAATAGAAAAAGATGTAAATGTTAAGGCTCCAACTCCGGAGATTTTTTTACTTGGATGGTTTTGGTGGGAATGGGTGGATCTTGGCGGCTCCCCAGGTGGTCCTGACACCTGGGCCTGAAGAGTGCACAGGAGGGTCCTGGGGGCCACATAGTCAACTCTATAACTCGGCTCCTTCCGTGTTTTCGGGAACATACAATTCTTTATTAAAATCACAGCCAAGAAACATTGTTTTAAATTGTGGGGCGCTGTCCTAGACCCAGCTACCGGATGCAGCTGTCCCTGGGTGCCTGAGCAGGACTGGTAACCCTGTTGTCACCAAACACCACGATGCTCAGATCTTTTACACAAGACGGCACAGTACTTTGTCTGAGATCTATACACATCCTCTGAACATTTCAAATCATCTCCAGGTTACTGAAATGGTTTTTTAAATACCATACAATATGATTTAGGGAAAAATGACGAGGGAAAGAGGTCTGTACATGCTCAGTACAGACATGATGATTCTCTCCCCAATATTTCCAACCTGTGATTGGTTGACTCCACTGACGTGGAACCCCAGAATCTGGAGACCTGGGTACAGTGTACGGTCCCTAATGGGATGAGTTCCTATGCGCAGCGAACCCCACGTGTTCCAGACGTTGGGCCTGTAGAAGAAAAGCATTTTATGGTAGTTCCTGGTACAAACGTCACATGTGACAAAGCACCGGTTACTATTGCGATGCCGCTGTCAGCCCTGTCCAGGGGACGGTGTTGCCCATCACTCAAACCCTTTGTGCCTTCTGCATGGTGAAACCTGGAGAAACAAGTATCGCAGCCCATAACCCAGAGAGACAGCTGGGGACAGTCCACCCGGCCAGCAAGCCTCCTGCCCCACTGATTAACGTCTTCATCCTTCCCCTTCCACCCCCTAGTTGGCAAAATGTGGACTCAACGTGGTGCTTATCAGCCGGACCCTGGAGAAACTGCAGGTCCTTGCCAGGGAGATTGGTGAGTGATGCCCCAAACAAGGGAGGTGCTCATGGAGCCCCCAGCCCAGCAGGCCCTGTCCTGCCTGTGGACTCCCAGTCGGGCGTCTGCAGCCTGGGGTGACCTTGGTGCCAGGGAGAACCCAGTTTATGAGGTGAAGCTCAAGGTTGAAGGCGCAGGCTTTGGCTCATCGTGGATTCGTGGGCTGGGGGAGGCAGGCAGAGGCTCAGGCACAAGTAGGTCCACCATCTTGTCTGACCCAGGGGCTTCATGCTTAGGACGATGTCTGCTCTCGCAGAGGTCTCAGCTGCTTGGTAGCTTCTGCGGTTCTTTTCAAAAGCAGGATCAGTGTGAGGGCCTTCCTGTGTCTCTGCCTTGCTCCTTGCAGGAGGGTGAGTGAGAAGGTTTCCTGGTGCTCGTCAGAGTTTTTTAAAGAAGATCTGATCAAGGGTTGCCATGTCTGGTTGCGAGAGTTGTACACCGTACAACCCACAGAGGCAGCTCTTATGCCATAATGTTTTATTAAGATGATTTGCTTAGAAGTGTCATGAGTTAATATCGACCATATATTTCCCTTGGGGTGTTGGAACTTTAGTACTCGTTAATGTATTAATGAGTAAGCTTTCTAATGCCAAGGGATGGGTCTTCGATTGTGAAGATTTGCGAGGGCCGTGGCAGGCTGTCTGGGATCGGCCATATCTGTCCGGGGAGGTTTGGGACGGGGTGGACGTGGGAGTTGGGGCTGTGCAGTCACTCCCAGAAGGCTCAGTGACCTTAAACTGTTGAATTCCGCTTTTGTTCTGCGTCTGCCGATTAGAAGTAACTTTTGCTGGGACCCAGATACTCTTGAGGGCTTTCCCCACAGGGTAAACTGTGCTTTTCATGATCCTTTTGGGAAGCAAGCAGTGTCTTCAAGAGAATCCCATTTCCCCAAACTGCCTCACGCTGGCTCCTCAGCACAGTGGGCCTCACTCCCTCCCAAGGGAAAGGGATCTCACCAGGGGACGGCTGAAGTGTCTGAGGCTCCGTCCTCCGCCCCAAGACCCCTGGCACCAGGCACGCCAACAGAGCAGTGGACAGCCCTGGGGCCAGATGCTGGCTTCCCTGAGCCTCGGCCTGCGGTGGCACCTGGGGACAGGGCTGACTTCATGCGGGAGGGAGATTAAGACAGGACATGGCTCAGGCAAGGGCTCCAGTGCTGGACAGACGGGGGCTGGTGGGACCCTGCGGAGGGACCTGACCCTGAGCAGAGGCCGCATCCGATCTGGCTTTGGCTGCTTAGGGACCGTAGGAGGGTGCCCGGAGCTTCAAGGTCCAGAGAGGGACTTGCCCGCTTGTTCCTTAAACATCCCACCTTGGCCCTCACGCAGAGCGAACCACAGGGAGCCGTGTGAGGGTGATCCAAGCAGATTTTACCAAAGATGACATCTATGAGTCGATCAAAGAAGAACTGAAAGGCTTAGAAGTTGGGATTTTAGGTGAGTGCATTGCAAAATGCCAAGCTTGGGATGCCGCAGTGAAGACAATCATCTTTGATGACGCTCAAGTATTTCTTGGTAGCTTAAACCTAACCCACGACTGTGTTTTAAGCTGCAGCATGAAAAGGATCATTCTGCAGCCATCACAGGATTCAAAAATTAATATATGGTCGAGGGACGCGTCAGACTTCCATATTCTGACCTTCCAAACTAGATTTTTTAATACGGAAGTGAATTTTCTTTCACAGACCTGACGTTGATGTTTGATAGCAAAAAGCCATCCCAGAAACACTGACCTGAAGGAATTGGGTCAGCAAACAGACGCAGGAGGTGTCGTCCACCAAGCAGAGCCAGTGTGGTGGTTGGAGAGCTGACGTCTTTTGCTTTCAGAGCACAAGACAGTGTTTTTCTGTAATGATTTATAGAGAAGGTATCTTCTAGCCACATGCCAAGTGCAATATTTGTGCTGTACACAGAAGAAAGTAAGATTTGGTTTCTAAACTTCCTGCTGAATTTAAAAGATAATTACATTTTCACGAGTAAAAATGGGAAGCATATCATTGCAGAAAAGTTGGAAAGGATTGGAAGACTTAGGCACATAAAAGAAATATGAATTTCTTTCTTTTTTTTCTTTCTTTCTTCTTCTTCTTCTTCTTTTTTTCCTGGACTGAACCCAGGGTGCTCTACCACGGAGCCACATCCCTACATCTTTTTATTTTTTATTTGGAGACAAGGTCTCACTAAGTTGTTCTGGGCCTTGCTAAATGGTGGAGGCTGGCTTTGAACTTGTGATCCTTCAGCCTCAGCCTCCTGAGTTATTGGGATGACAGGCATGGGCCACTTCACCCAGCTATGGATTTCTTAAAATCCCCCAAATCCAAGATAGCATCTTGTTGTGCATTCTTCCCAACCTATATACGTGTTTTCAAAACTGGGATCATATGTACATGCATTTTGTAACATGAAAAAAAAAATCCACTTGTATCACAAATGTCTTCCCGTGTCTATAAAATTCTCAGCAGCCATAGTTTTTCTTAAAATTTTTTTATTGGTTCCTTTTAGTTACACATGACAGCAGAATGTCTTTTGACTTGTCACACCGACACAGGGCCTAACCTCGCATCTTGTGGTAGCAGCCATGGTTTTTAGTGACTGGGCTGCAGACCGACCTGCCCTGGTCTGGTTCGCGGGCCTCCTGTTACGGACGACGTGTTTTCTGCCATCTGTTCCCTTACTGCAGTCAAATCCTGTCGCATTGAACAACGTTGTATGTGGATATTTTTGTCCAGGTTTCTTCAGGCTCTTCTGACCCATTCTTGTCTTGTGTCTTTGGTCAGTCAACAACGTTGGGATGCTTCCAAACCTTCTCCCGAGCCGTTTCCTCAGTGTGCCGGATGAGATCCAGGTGGGCCGCGTTCTCCCCTCCCAGGTACACAGGGAACAGGATGAGCACAGGTGACTACGTGCCGCTGGACGATCATTCTTTGGGGACTCTGTGCCCTGCTTTATAGAAGAGTAACTCTGCCCAACAAATTCAGGGACAGTATGATGTACCTGGGAGCTGCCAACTCTTTGGCTCTAGTCTGTTTCCCTAAATAATAAGATTTTTTCAACTTTCAGTGCGAGGGGTGTACAGCCATCCTCGGTATCTAAGGGGGACTGATTCCAGGGCCCCCTGGAATATCAAAATCCATGGAGGGCATGGAATTTGCATACAACCTGCACAAATCATCCAGTAAATCAAATCATCTAAGACTTAAGGGAAGTCTTAGATGCCCAATAAAATACAAATGTCCTGCACATAGTTGTTATACTATATTGCTTAGGAAATAAGGACAAGAAAAAGTCTGTATGTGTTCAGTACGGGTGCAATTATTTTTTTTGATATTTATTTTTTAGTTGTAGTTGGTTGGACACAGTACCTTTATTTTATTTATTATTTTTATGCGGTGCTGAGGATCGACGCCAGGACCTGGCACGTGCTAGGCGAGTGCTCTACCGCTGAGCCACAACCCCAGCCCCAGGTGCAATTTTTAAAGAAACAATTTTGATCCATAGCTGACGTGGAGCCTGTGAACATGGAGGACTGATTGTGTCTGACTCAGACTCTGTGGTTGGAGGTGCTGTATGCTCAGTGATCTCGGCTCAGGCCCACGGCTGTCGGTGTGGTCAGGGGTAAATGTTCTGCATTGAACAGTCCTCAAAGGCAGGCCACTGGCCATTCTCATGGCCCTGAGCTGTGAAGCCATGGGGTGCGCCAGTAGCTCAAGGAGGTGTGCCTTTGCACGCCCGTAATCCCACCCCTACACTATGCCTCTGCACACCTATAATCCCAGCATCCTGGAGGCTGAGGCAGAAGAATCACGAGTTCAAAGCCAGCCTCAGCAACTTGGCAAGGCCCTAAGCAGTTCAGTGAGACCCTGTCTCTAAGCAAAATATTAAACAAAAGGGCTGGGGATGTGGCTGAGTGGTTAAGTGCCCTGGGTTCAATCTCCCTGGTACCAAAAGAGAGTATTGTGTCACATGTTGTTGCTGGCCCAGGAAAAGATCCAAATTCAAAGTGTGTTTTCTGCCACACAGGTGTTGGTTTTGCACCTGTGAAGGTGAACCATCCTGAGTCAGGAATCCTCGGTATCTTACTGTGAAAAAATATATTCCTCCTAATTTTTACAGCAGACTCTTAATTGATTTCTATCTGGGCTGGGTGCCGTGGCGCATGCCTGTCATCCCAGCAACTTGGGAGGCTAAGGCGGGAGGATCTGCAAATTCGAGACCAGCCTCTAAGAAATCAAAAGGGCTGGGATGCGACTCTGTGGTAGAGAGCCCTGGGTTCAATCCCTGGTTACACTCCCTCCCCAGCCCCAAGCCATACCTGGGTAGAATTGTCGAGTGACTGTCAGATGTTACTGGATTCTGGGGCTCCCTCGCTGGACGGCAGTCAGGAGCCTCATATGAAGGCTGAGGTGGAGGCTCCCACTGGCCGTTGTCCTTTGCCCACTCGTGGTTCCCGAGCCCTGAACCCTTCCTGGGACGATTTCCCTGCTGGTCGGCTGATGTGTGGTTGTGATTTCTTATTTCAGAGCCTCATCCAGTGCAACGTCACCTCCGTGGTCAAGGTACGTGGTGCCCCTGTGCTAATTGAACCGTGGTGGCCGTTGGAATTCGGAAGTGCAGGGGAAGTGTCCCCCCCGGCCCCAAGGGGGAGGACGGCCTGAGACACAACCTGGAGACTCTCTCTCTCTCCAGTATCTGCAGCCTGTTTCCACATTCAGTTTGGTCACGCATGAGGCCTGTGATGCTGGGACTTGTTCAGAATTCCAGGGACATTTAAAAAGTTTAAACGCTTTCTCTGATTCGAGGCTTTGTAAATAGAATAAGGTTCACTCTGTTGGGGGAAATGCCAGAGGGCTCGACTTAGGTTTCCTGGGCTTTTGTGGTTCAATGTGTATTTACTGAGTTGAAGTTCAAGGTCATCTATCCCATTGTCTTCTCTTCCCCAAGGTTTTGCTTTCCACAGTCTTAGTTATCTGTGGCCCACCCTGGTCCACAAATATCAAATAGAAAAGTGTGTGTATATATATATTTATTTATACCAGGGATTGAACCCAGGGGTGCTTAACCACTGAGCCACGTGCCCAACCTTTTTGTTTCAATTTGAGGCAGGGTCTTGTAGAGTTGCTGAGGGCCTCGATAAGTTGCTGAGGCTGACCTTGAACTCGATATCCTCCTGCCTCAGCGTCTGAGCTGCTGAAGTTACAGGCGTGTGCCACCATGCCAGGCTGGAAATTCCGTATTTTGAGGGAGAAAGAGAGAGGGAAGGCACATTCGCATTACTTCTACCACAGTGTGCTATTATAATTGTTCTGTTTTGTCACAGGGGCTGTTAAAATCTTACCAGGCCTAGTTTATAAGTTAAACTTTACCGTGGCGCATGGAGGGGGATTTCTACCCTTGATTTCAGGCTTCCACTGAGGGTCTTGGAGGGTATCCCCACAGGTCAGTGGAGACGACTGTATTCAGACCCCAGCGAGGCGGCTGATTGGTTGGTCAGCACTGGGCAGGTCACCTAGCTCCCTGAGCCCCAGATTCTGCCCCTGTTACTAAAGCGTGCTGGAGCAAGCCCTTAGGTGCAGTCTGCCTGGAAGCCTTTGGCTCTTCAGCTGCGTTCTCAATTTAGGTGACTCCCCCAAAGCTGCCCTGTACTATGCCTTTGCATGCAGAAGAAAGAGGCGCCCCTCTTGGGACAGACAGTTTAGAGAAAGGTTCCTCTTAAGAATGGACGCAGTCTCAGGCCTCGTGGCTTGGTGGGTAGATGACACTTTTTTTT